ATATTACGTGGCTACTTTTATGTTTTGATTATTATCATTCAATGTCACGCGGGCGTACCTCAAACTAACACGTTTTTATATTAAGGTTAGTGTTGAATCGAAAATAGTTTTGAAATATTCCAGTATTATTGAAAATCACTCTTGATTTTATATGTATTAGACTTAGTAGTAGTGAGATTTATCTGTTAACTTCTAAGAAATTTACAAGTTCAAATGCTTATACAAAAATTATTTAAAATTTATGTGTACACTTCAAGAAATTTCAACCTAATCTCTATATAGAGCAATTTATATATAAAAATATACAAAAACACAGGTAAAGCCACGAGATATTCTAGTCAAAGAGACCTGTTAAACGCATTAAGATATTAAGTTGTGAGGTAGAAAACAGCTTTTTGTTACATGATACAAATGTTCATACATCATCGGATTAAAAAAAAGAACAAATCTTATTTATACTCAGCTTACTCTCTACTTAGTATATGAAGGATGCTTACGGTTCCATATGTTTTGACATTGGACCCTAATTATTTTAGGTAATGCCTTTTTGTGGGATGAAAAGATGAATAATAAAAGGAAGCTGTGCTGTAGATCTTAATCCTTTTAAACTTTTGACGCGTATACTAGAATTGATTAATTCCAACTTAGATATTGTTGGAAATGTGTCTTGAGATGGGATTTTACATATTAATAAATTAAATGTTTCGAAATACTTTTTTGTATAGAAATGGTTTTTGTTTGGTCAAATATTTTAAATGTTATATGTAGATGTTTAGGTATATCGTTGACAATATTTAAAGTTTGAAGTTCAAATTTGGGGTTTGTATTACAACCAAAGTTGTGGTATGGTTATAATTTGATTTTTCTTATGTTAAGAAACTAGTGAATCACTCTTGCTACGCTCGGGTTCATCCCTAAATACGTTTTAACGGTTAGTATATATTTCTCAGAGATGAGATATTTTCCCGCAGTAAAAAGTATCCTATATGTTGACCCGGATAACCAGCTATCATCATACCAACTCTCATCAAAATCTGTCCAATGGTTTTCTCGTGATGCGTTCCCAGACAGACGGACAGACAAAAATTCTAAAAACTACAGATACTAATAAATAATGACTGTTTAAATAAGATTTTCCAAAAAATATTTAATATACAGATTAGACTCAGAATTTTATTATATGTAAGTATACTGTATAGATATAATAACAAATTTTTGAGATATAAACAAACCTAATATTCCATTCTCGATAAATATTTTTATTTACTATAAGAAATTTTAATTTATACAAAATCTAAACGAATATCATTATACTCTACAACGATACGTATTTTAATAATAAATTAAAAAAAAAACATATACGGGCATTTCATTTCTATTAATTATATATGTATATATGTATATTAAAAGTTCGATCATTCCGTTTTATTGTTACTACTGTTTTAGAACTATAAAATAAACTAAAACTAGTTTTCTTAATCAAAATAGGCGACAAAATATAATAAAACTGCATATTTATGTAAAGTTGCACAGAACTAGATAATGCTATCATCTGATAAGGATCTTTTACCGGTATAAAACGTATTAGTCTAAGATCTGAAGTAAGGTCGTCCTATACTCATCTGCTTACTGAAAGAAATTTATTTTGTATTAGCGAATTACTCTCGCATACTTTTTTTTTTGACCGGAACCCTAAGTATTTTTCTAAAATAAAAGTCGCCTTAGTTACTCCTTATAACATCTGCCATATGTCAGTGAAAGTCCCATAAAAATCAGTTCAGCCGTTTCGGAGATTAGCCGGAACAAACAGACAGACAGATAAAAATTCTAAAAACTATAGTATCGGTCTCTGTATCGATAATAATGACTATTTCAATAAGGTTTTTCGAAAAAAATATTTAATGTACAGATTCAACTGAGTTAGAATTTTATTATACATAATATTTAGGTTTACTTTCTTACAACTAACTACTCGTAGCTAAGACGAATCTTTTTACATCACATCAAATCTTACGCGTATTAATCTGTAGTATATCTTGTCTTGCTTCAATTTTTAAGCGAGACAAGATATAAGACAGATTTCATTTTTGTCGTAATTTCGATGAATATCAGATTTATTTGTTAAGGGATGAAATAAAAAAAAATAATTACAGCTAGCCTTGATCCCATTTCTTTGTAAAATCTTTCAGCGATATTGTTCAAGTATTTTGTTTAATAAAAACTAATTTTAATGTGGTATGCAGTTGGGTGAAGGACCTTACTCGTCTACTTTATGCGCGTATTGGAAATACTTGCTTGGTCATAGAACAGGGAAAATGGAAGTGGTATATAGTAAAATATTGAATGCCATATTAATTAATTTACTTAGCAATCGCAAAGTATATTTTATACTAGCGGCTCACCCTCGCTCCGCTCGGGTTCATCTCTAGATACGTTTTAACGGTTAGTATACCTAGATTTCTCAGAGATGAAATATTTTCCGGAACTAAGAAGTCTAAATTCCAAATGTTGACTCAGACAACTATCTATCACCATACGAAATTTCATCAAAATCCGTCAAGTGGTTTTTTCGTGAAACGTTCGTAGACAGACAGACAGACTCAGAACCGATAATAATGACTATTTCAATAAGATTTTCCAAAAAATATTTAATGTACAGATTCGACTCAGTTACAATTTTATTATTTGTATAGATTACTTGTTTTATTTTATTCTGTTATTCGTTATTACGAATATTTTTGAATTGTACAAAATAAAACATCAACTCGCAGAATCGTAATATTTGAAAAGAAATAAGGGTCCCTATCTCCGTCTATCTCAAATAATAAATGCGAGAAAGAGAAAAAAAACTAATACATGTCTAAAAATATCGTTACTGAATGATTCAAAGGGGTTGAAAATTCTAATTTAAGCTATTCACGCCTGTATAACTTCGAATCACATTGTCATGCTTCATACATTAAAATGTGACGGCTCTACTGAATCATCTATAATTGATTGTATTTTAAATATTTAAAGTTTAAAATTAAATAGTATTATATAATAGTATTCTGCTAATATTATAAACAAGATTTCATATGAAGATGTTTGGGTGTTTGTTTGTTAATCAAATATTTCGACGTCTTGATGTCATATCCAGGCTTAACATAATATAGAATCTATTAAAGAAAAAAATAATAATAATATATTTATTGCAAGAACTTGCCTACATACTTTAAAAGTGATTAAAGTTGTATCATTATTTGTTAAATAGTTTTTTATGTTGGTCTTATTATATCTTGTTAATTTTATATTTGAATTCATTTCGGTCATAGGTATATTTTTTTCTTCTTTCTTCAAGCAAAGTAGTTGGAGACCTTCCATTTAAAAAGAGAAAATGGATAATGGGACGCTAAATCTTTTTATCTCTTCTATTTGAACAGCAAATGTTAATTATTTTTTTAAATTAGCATAAATTAAAAAAAATAATCTTAACTTCTCTACTTTTTAGGGTTCCGTACCCAAAGAGTAAAACGGGACCCTATTATTAAGACTTCGCTGTCCGTCCGTCTGTCTGCCCGTCTGTCACCAGGCTTGTATCTCATGAACCGTGATAGTTAGACAGTTGAAATTTTCAAAGATGATGTATTTCTGTTGCCGCTATAACAATAAATACAAAAAATCAGAATAAAATAAATATTTAAGGGGGCTTCCATACAACAAACGTTATTAGTTTGCTCGTTTTTGCTCGATATTGATAACGGCAACAGGTAGACGCTTGAAATATTCACAGAATATTTAGAGTATACATTTAGTTATACACTTTAAAAATAAATCATTAAATTAAGACAAATATTTAAGGGTTGCTCCCATACGACATGATTTTTTTGCAGTTTTTATAGATAATGGTATGGAACCCTTCGTGCACGAGTTCTACTCGCACTTGCTTTATTAATCGATGCCTTAGTGAAAATATATGTTAAACGCTTGGATTAAAAACGTAAAAGTTTAGTTTCTGAGAATCTTTAGGCTATAAACAATCGTTATCTTGATATAAAGTAAACAGTATAATGTAAAATATTTTTTTTTCTAAAGATAAAATATTCGCGTAATACGAATCTACAATAGCATGCCTAGCTTGATTACATTGTTGTTTATTTTTTAACTTTGGTATTTCTATGTTGGTAAATAGGTAGACGTATTTTATTCAGATTTAAAATTAGTTTTGTTGGTGATGTTGGTAAATTATGGCCGAATAGATAAATAATAATTTATAAAATATTGAGATTTTGAATTTCTTTTTTTTTAATATAAGATTTAGTTTGATGTTATTTATTTTATTTAGTTTATGTTAGACTCACCATCGCTTCGCTCGCGTTTGTCCCTAGTTACGTTTTAAAATTTAGTATAGATTTCTCAGAGAAAATATCTCATATATTTTAATGTAGTAAAAAGTATCCTAATATGTTGACCCGAATAACCAGCTATTATCATATCAAATTTCATCAAATCTGTGACGTGGTTGGTTGGTCTGGCTTTCCCAGACAGACAGACAAAAATTCTAAAAACTATAGATTCGGCCCCTGTATCGAGAATAATGACTATTTATTTCAATAAGATTTTCCAAAAAATATTTAATGTACAGATTCGACTCAGCTTTTATTATATGTATAGATAATAATTATTTAAATTTAGGTCACTGGTTTTTTTCGTGTAGCTCCTCGTGTTTTATTGCGTGTGTTATGTATACTTTATCTGTACCTGAGCGTCGACTTAAATTATAAAAACGATAGCCTTTGTATTTTATCAAAGCTGTAAAAGTAATGTTTAAACCTTAAACATGCATGCACATAAAATGCAAATGATATCCTGTAAAAGACAATATGAATTTATTGCTAATAAACATATAAAAACGGGAGAAACATTGCCAAAAAAAAACTATATTTCAGAAAAAAAATCAAAATTACGAAATGTCGCTTAGTTAAAAAAAAATTAAGTAAAAATATATGAACAGTACTTACAGTATTTGCGTAAAAGGGAGGTTGGTCGGCAGCGAGGGCTGGGAAGTAGGCAGCCATGCCGGCTGCGGTGGCTGCATCGGGGTATGGCGCACTGTACATGGACAGTGGTACTCCCGATGCTAACCTCTGATAGTTCAGAAAGTCGTACTGACAGGAGCACACCGTCTGCCCGGTGATGGGGTCCTGGTATATGGGACGTCCCGTGTCGCAACACCGACCAGGAGAGCTAGGACGAGCTGAGCTAGCCCCTGCTCCACTCATCCCAGCCTGCGCCGGCGTCGGACTGTTGGATGCTGTCGATATCGTGCTCTGTAAGTTGTAAATTTTGAAATGCCTTATGGCGTTTTCATTCGCTCGAGCTTTTTGGAGGCCTCCGTACGCGTAGCATCGCACAGCAGTCGTCACATCCCTATCCATTCATCATAATTGGTTAACATCGGCTATCTAACTCCAATTCTGCTGGTTCAATTCTAAAATCAACCCCTACTAACTGAGCGGAAATACTTTGGAGTTGCTTTCGGTCATAGCTGATTAGGGGCGTACCATAACTCGTTATCTAACCCCCTTTACGCCAAATTAGATTATACTTTATTATAATGCGACAATAGTACGACATATTGTAACGAAAAAACTACCTGAACCACCGAATAAACATCCGTCTGAACAATAACGACCCAAAGGCCGTCCTTCATAATCGAGCAATGCGAATTTATTCGTGGATAAATAACTTTCTAAATATTTGTCGTTCGAATGAAAAATGGTATAGAGTCAATGGGATTAGGAATCGAAATATCCTACCCGTGATATGACAGTGGGAATTAATGCTATTGTGCCTTCTATGGCATTATACATATTTCCGATTAAAATAAATTATATTTAGGATATGTTTTTGTGATTTCGAAGGTTTGCTTGACAAGTTATCTTGTAACCAATTGAAGCTAATATTGTAGAATTTGAATGATGAATTATATAATTAAATGAAACTGTCCATCTGTCTGTTTTCAAGGTTTTTAAACGTTTTGTTAAAAGATGCAAGATGAATAATATAGTATTGTGCTTATTTGTATATTCTATAGTATACATATTGTAAGGCTTCGCGGCCATTTTACCGTAACTCTGTGGGGAGGGAATGGTTATCCTCCCCTATACATAATATAGACTAAGCCCCATCTATGCCAGTGACTGACAAACATTATCTACCTTACATGGAGTAACCTAATCCCGTATGCGCCATAGCTGTTTTACCTAAAACTAAGCTGAAATTTAACTGTGAAATCTTGGATATCTGTGAGTGTGGTTTGTAAAAGTATAGAAGATTTAATAAACATATTTAAAAATCATAATAATAATAATGAAAATATTAAGCCAAATATTATTTAGCTTCATTGTATTGTTTTGTAAATAAAATATTTCAAAAATACATATGTACATACATACAAATAAATTGTATTACATAATAGTTTCAAAAGCACAGCGAGCAGAAACCACTAAAATAAGAATTTTCAAAGCATTTCCTTTAAGTGAGAGTTGTGAGAGTTGATTCATTAGAATATTGATTCAAGCGGCAGGACGTATCAAGTCACAAATGGTTAATGATATTAGAACGAGGGCTTTAGATACTATCTTCTTAATTTGGTTGATTCATCTTATTTCCCAGATATGTAGCAGTTAATTTGTATCATCAATGCGGTAGTCAAATTAACTAACTATGTTAACTTTAAGATTAAATTAAACTTAGTTAATCGTTAGTAGGTTCAATTCTAGCTTAGGGAAATATCGATATTAATATAATAAATTTATTATGCCATGAGATTACCTCACAAATGAATAAATAAACTATATACCTAATAAAATATTAGATGTCGATTATATCTAATTCTAAATGTCGTATCGATTTAAAACTAGTATGTAGGTTTGTGAAATCTGGAAGATAATATAATAATGTTATATATAATTATTTACTTCTTTTCGATAGAACAGTGTTTTAATAAAACAATAAGATTTACATAGTATAAAATGAAGTCGCTTCCGCTGTCTGTTCGCTTAAATCTTTTAAACTATCAACTGATTTTAATTCAGCTTTCAGCACTAGAGAGATTCAAGAGGAAGGTTTATATGTATAATACATGCATATTATAGTGCAGAATAGCAGAGAAATTCAAAGATTTGTATTTCATACTAACCGTTAAAACGTATGTAAGGACGAACCCGAGCGAAGCGAGAGTGAGTCGCTAGTAATATAAATAAAAATCAATTGCCGAATATATGTAAACTCATCATTTCAGAACGGCTGCATCTATCTGACTAATTCTTTTATGTTGTTTTTGTAGTTGTTAGAACAAGGTTTGTACGAAATAAAATATTTGGAAAATTGTACCGAAAATTGCAAAATTTGGGTTAAAAAATGTCCATATAAAGTGGGAGATCTTCAAAAATATTAACAGAATTGATTATTGATTAAACACAGGTGAAGTCGCAGGTACTGCTTGTAAAAAAAATTTTTCGAGCATTTAATTATTCTTATTCATATTGACATCTCTAACCTATTCCAAAAGTATTTTTGTAATAACATTTATTATTTAAATGAATCAACGTTGTTAATATAATTAAGGCTAACATTAAACTTTCTTAAGTTGATTGTTACGCTTTCTAATAACTATATAGTGTAATTACTATAAAAATATAATATTTAAATATTATAGAATAACTGTGTTCACAAAGCATTATCTAAGAAATATATTTTTAAAACCGTATAATATAAAATTTGTGCTTAATATATCAAACCTCGCCTCTAGAAAAACAAAAATAAATCTATCCCACGGGAACCGCACATTTTTTAGGGATAAGAAGTAGCCTATGTGCTATTCCAGACAATAATCTATCTCTGTACCAAATTTCATCCAGATCCGTTTAGCCGTTCTGGCGTGATTGAGTAACAAACAGCCAAACATCCATCTAAGCTTTCACATTTATAATATTATTACGATATTCAAATATTAGAATATAAATCAATATATTACACGAGTGAACAAATGAAAACAAATATTTTTTACTGTTTGCTAAAGTAAAGTGAGTTTAGCTTTTCAAGTGGACTCTTACTTCTTAGTAATAATCATGTGTTGAATGCAGTCAGTGTCTTGCACTTAAGGGACCATATCAGTGCGTAGGAAATAAGCACTCGAGGGGTTTATGGCTGTTACACAAATGTGTAAACTAATAATTTGGTTTTTCAGCTTCCCTGTAGCTTGGGGATTCGATTCTCGGGTCGTACAGGTCACAAGTTTTTAAAATGCGAATGTTTGACCATATGCTTGTCACGCCTTCAAGTTAACATGGCTGGACGGATTTGGTAGAAATTTAACACACAGATAGGTTCTAGATTAATATATCTATACAAATATTATTAAGAGGTAAAATTTGTGAGTTTGTGAGATAGGGGGATATCTCTGGATCTACTGGACTCATTTAGATGAAATTTGGTAAATAGATAGTTTGAGACCCTCAAAAGGATATAGGATACTTTTTATCCCGGAAATCGTGTCTTAAAGGGGTGAAAATAAGGAAAAAAGTTTATATATGGAATCAACCTAGGGACGAACCCGAGCGAAGCCAGTATGAGTCACTAGTGTATGATAAATTAATTAAAAAGAGTCTGTCTGTTTATAAAGCTATTAATACAAAATGCTTCTAAGGACGCTTCCGAGCGAAGCGAGAGTAAGTCACTAGTGAGTAATAAAGTTTGTATCAGCGTGTTAAAATACAGAGTTTGAAACTGTCGAAATATGCATATATGTAAAGCTAAGAAGTAATATATACTATACCATATTATATGAAAAAAACTGTTAATTTATTCAATGTTAACGTTAATTATTTTACTACTTAAGAGGCTCATTTTAATTTTTAATTTGTCTAAATCGCATGTGAATGGAAAGCATGTTGGTATTTTTATAACATTTTGTTAAAAATAATATAAATATATATATGTATATATATGAAAAAAAATGTATTATATATATATATATATATATATATATATATATATATATATATATATATATATATATATATATAATACATTTTTTTTAATTTAATTTAGTTTCACTTTCATATTTTCTACATTTACATAAAACTTTGATAACACGAATATCACAATAGATATTAAAAAATGAGAAATCTACTATTAAACGCAAGTAGGACCGCGGTAATATGTTAGCTACTAACCTATTCGTCTTCCAATACTCGATGCAACATAAAACGATTTAAGAATCGATAAATAATTCTCGTATCAAAAATGATTGATGCCTTCACTAAAATTTGGGAAATTGGAAATTATCTCGTGAAGCTTCATATTGGTTATTGTATAGCAAAACGCTCGATAACGTAATGTTCTTTATCAATTATAATGTCACTATTACACACATATATATCGATACTTTTATAAATGTGAAAGTGCGTTTGTTTGTTTGTCCTTGTTTCAAATCGAAACAGAGTGACGGATTGGTGTAATTTTTTGTGTGGAGATAGTTGGAGGGCTGGAGAGTGATATAGGCTACTTTTTACTGCGGGAGATTATGTCATTCCCACGGGAAAACACGTGATAATACCACCCAAAATAACTCATATCTATGTATATACATATAGGGTAAGTCCGGGAGAGATGCCTATAACGGAGAGATGCCTACTAAATTTAAAACTTTAAATTTAAAATTTTGCGTGATTTTATATTAAAATTATATACTCTATCTTTTCCATACTAACCGTTAAAACGTACCTAGGGACGAACCCGAACGGAGCAAGGTCGAATCGCTAGTTATTAGATAAATGCAACAAAAAACTTGTCATCGCATCCTTTCAAATATCGGACTGAGTTCAGATTAAAGTGCCGCAGCTTATCTCTCTCAGACATCATTTAAAAAACAAACACGAAGACTCTTTTTCTTATCCTTTTTTACTGTCCGCAGGATGTGTTATAGTCGTTAAGCCCTTTTAAGTGTTAAACCTTGTAACTGAATATTCGAGCGTGCTAGGGTTCGATCTATTTGTTATATAATGTAAAAAACTTTAATTTTTGTGAAGTCGGTCCCAATGACATGGATTGCGTTGGAAAAAATATGGTGACATACGGTCGCAGTGGCAGGTAGGAACAACTGCTAAAGGTTTAATTTTTAAAAAAAATGTTTTATCAAAGCCGATCCCTTTATTAAAGTATTAAATTTACGATAACTTTAACGTATAATTATACTCGCCAATGTCATATCGCATCAGCCGCGAGTCGATGGAGGCGTTCGGATGTATTACATATCTTTTTTTGGCTTTTCGATTTTAGCTTGACCCAGATTCATATTCAATGTTTCTAAATTCGCGTGGTAATTGAATTTTTGAACTTCAATTGTATATATGGTGGTGGTAGCCCAGTG